TCCCAGGGCTACTGCGGTGATGCTGTGCGGAGGCCCCTGCCCCTCTGCTCGTCTCCACACACGGTGCTGTGAAGGCCACATGTCCTGGTGCAGCACCGTGTTCCGACACTAACGCCGAGTCCCCATGACTGCCCGCGACAGTTACTGTCTGCATGTTACAAGTGCGCCATCAGAGCCTAGGGATTCAGTAGTCCCACACTGCACAGCCAGTTCACAGCAGAGCGGGGCTGGGCTGGCGGCAGGGCCTAGACCTCAGTGACAACACTCCAGCTCCACCAGACTGAGCCCCCATCCTGGTCCATTGCCTGCCTTTTGTACTCATCCCACCCTTCACTTTAAAACCCTGTGTGTCCTTCCAAGTCCGGCTCCACAGTCTTTTCAGGTGTCCCACGCTGGAAATTCCACCGGTGTGATTTTTTTTTTCTCATTAAACTTTGTTGTAATGGGTCTCAAAATTCTGTGAGATATTTTTGATTAAAAATCTCTTTGTTTCCATTAAAAAGTACTGATTTTGGGACAAGCAGTTAGCGTAATGGCTATGTCGCTGGACTCCCATGTAGTCCACCGCGGTTCGCGTCCTGGACCCGGTGACTTAAAACTCATGCCAGGCGCATGTGCGTGCGTGCCCAAGATCCTGAGAGGAGAATAGAGAAGGGATTGCGGTGTGGCCATCCCCCCGGGGGGGTGATTTCTTGCTTTCTGTCTCTCTGTCTCTCTCTCTCTCTCTGGTGAGTGCACACGCCCTATAGCAAAAAATCCTCTCAAGAAAAAAAAACACAAAAAAAACCTTTGTTTTAATGGGTCTCAAAATTCTCTGAGAGATTTTTAGTTAAAAATCTCTTTGTTTCCATTTAAAAGTACTCATTTTGGGACAAGCAGTTAGCGTAATGGCTATGTCGCTGGACTCCCATGTAGTCCACCGCGGTTCGCGTCCTGGACCCGGTGACTTAAAACTCATGCCAGGCGCGTGTGCGTGCGTGCCCAAGATCCCGAGAGGAGAATGGAGGAGAAGGGACTGCGGCGTGGCCATCCCCCCCTGGGGGGTGATTTTTCGCTTTCTGTCTCTCTGTCTCTCTCTCTCTCTGTCTGGTGAGTGCACGTGCCCTATAGCAAAAACCTCTCAAAAAAAAAAAGTACTGATTTTAAAAACTAGTAACTTAAAACTTCCACACATGACAAAAGTCAAAATGGTCCACAAAACATTGTCCTTTTCTTCTGAAGCTTTTACGATGAATCGTTACCATTAACTGGTCTTTTACTATTAAACTTAAATGAGATTGAGACGAACAGCTCTGAGACTGCCCTTCCACGGATTAAGACTGGGGTGGCAGGAATTAGAGATATTCATTTAGTTTTCTGAGCTTTCTGGGCAGACTTGCTGACTTTGCCAGCTCCAGCAGCCTTCTTTTCCATGGCTATTATTTTAATTTGACCAAAGAAAAAGAGAGAGGGAAAGTGAGAAAGGAAGCTGCCAGGTCTAGGACTTGAACCATAGTCAGCCATGTGGGAGGCTAGCACCTTTAACTACCAGGCCACCTGCTGGCCCCCTACCTGTGTGGACTTACAGAGTGTTTGCTCTGTACCTCTCTCCTTTTCTCTAAGTGCACAAGTACAACCTTAATTCCTTCCTCATCATAAAAGGTCAAGTAGAGGGGCCGGCAGGTGCCTTGGTTAAGGTGCACATGTTCGACCGTGGTTTGGGTCCCCCAAACCTGGAGGCTTGAAAATCAAGCCAGGCTGGTACCAGCAGACAGAGTAATACTTACCATCGCTGGGCTCCCACATAGTCGACCACGGTTGGAGTCCCAGCCCCAGCTTAAACTCATGTCGGGCACGTGTGCATGCGTGCCCAAGATCCAGAGAGAATGGAAGAGAGGAGACTGAGGTGTGGTCATCCTCACTAGGGTGTGATTTCTTGCTTTCTGTCTCGCTATCTCTCCAATGAGCACAGGGGTACCCTATAGCAAAAATCTCTAGAAAATGTAAAAAAGAAAAAATCATGCCATGCACATGTGTGCGTGTGCCCAAAATCCTGGCAGGAGAGTGGAGAAGGGACTGTAGTGTGGCCATGCCCCCTGGGGGGGGTGATTCCTCACTTTCTCTCTCACTGGTCTCTCTCTTACCCTGGTGAGCACATGCACCCTATGGTGAAAACCTTAAAAAGAAAGTAGAAGATACGGAGAAAGAAGTTTTAAGTGTCCCATCACTTCTCAGAAGTTATCAGTCTGTCCCTTGATTACTGCTTCTGTGCATCCGCTCATGACTCTCATCAGTTACTGGAGGACAGGAGGCATAGCTGTTGTTTTTGTTCCGCTAACTAGACATTAAAAAGCAATCTGACCGCACACAATATATTTTTAGATAAAGGTGAGAGGGTCTGTTCGAGAAAAAAACGTGACTTTTTTCCCAGAGGACTGGCAAAGACATGTCAAACACTTCCTCTCCTCCCACCTTCATTAAAGAACAAAAGAGCATCTACTTCTAGGTACGGCAAGTGTCTGGTTTCTGTTTTAGCAGGGTCTCAGAAGGAAATGACCTGTCTCTGAAATTGTAGACGCCCAACCCAGCTGCGACATTGTTAGACCTCAGGGTAAACAGGAAACTTCCTGCCCTGGGCCCTTGCAGTCCCTCTCCTAGACTACTAAAGACTCTTAATAGGATGGTAAAAAGGACAGCTGCCGGCCATAAAAGCAGCCCACTGCTTAGACCCTTGAGCAGCAAGTAGGTCCCTCCGAGGTCAGAGAGAAAGCCGTGTCGTCTCCAGGTCCTACCTCGCTGGGGCCCAGCCATGGGATTTCTGGGCCTTGAAACCACTCGTTTCTGGGAGTGATGAGATGCAGTGGGAAGGGTAAGCTGAGACTGCTGGGGCAGGCCGGTGGGCTGTGAGTCACCTCTTCCAGCAGGGGAACAATCAGCTCAATTATTGCCTAAAGGAGGCAAAGAGCTAGCAATAAAGAGCTGAACCGGCAAGGCTCCTCCTGCACGCGGTGGAAGTCCCTGGATTTGCAGCTGCTGGTGACGAGCCGGGGGAGTTCTGCCAACTGGAAGGACATTAGGGCAGGGGTGATCGTCTTTTGCCAAGAAGGGCACTCGGTGTCTTGGCAGAAGGCAGAGGGCTGCCCCGGTCTGTGTGTACATTTTCAGAAGCATTTGACTCTGGACCAAATCCCTCAGCTGTGCAGCGCTGCGGCGAAGGACAGGCGATGCTATTGGCCAGGCTGACCAGACGCTCCCAGAGGGTGCTGGGGCTCGGCCAGGAGCTTCCCTTCAGCTGGCAAGTTCAGCTTTCTGCCCGGTCAGAGGGAGTGTGTCAGAATGCCAATCCTCGGGGCTCTCCAGAAGCTGCACATGATTATCCATCTGTTTGAAAGAGTTTCTGCTTATTGGCATTTTTGGCTCACATGGGGAGTCAGAGAGAGAATGACACAATGCCTCTTCCTGGGTTCAAGGTGTGGGGAATACTTTAGCAGGAGCCATTTCAAAGTCCCTGACAGGGTTTTGTGCCCCTGCCATAGTTATAGCCCTGTAAATCCAGGAGCATCTGCACTGTGTTGCCAGCATCACATACTTTTTTTTTTTTTTAATTTGCCAGAGGCCACAAGCAATCCGGAGAGGGAAAGTGAGAAAGTACCCCCCAGTGGGGACTATCGTGCCACAACCCTTCTCCTCCACTCTGCTCTTGGGATTTGGGGCACACATGCCAGCATGTTTCTCAAGCCACCAGGTCTGAGACTTGAACCACGCTGTCAGTCACACAGGATCCAGCTGTCTCAACCACACCACCGGCCAGTCCGAGACGCGTTTTTTGACTTAGGATATTTTCAACTTATCCCACTGGAGGCTGAGAAGCACCTATATACCGAAAGGCTCATGATCAAATGGAGGAAGCAGGTACAGTTCGTTCGATCTCGGGCTTACCTACGATTGGTCAGTTCCTGCTGCCACTGGCTCCTCCACGTCTGCCAGTCAAGCAGGAGCAGGCTCGGGAGAACGGAGGAAATCCAGTCGCCGCAGGTTAACTTACGCCACACGGAGCCGAAATGTGCCTGGTGTCACCGACTCCCCTTCGTTCGAAGGAAAGATCACTTCAGCTTTTCCTGAGTTGCATGAGGGGATAGAAGAGTTTCTTCCAATTGCTGAAAGCAAGAGAACTGGAGATACCTGCCCTAAAATCACGTTTGAGCCTCTACATCGAGTGTTTGGGCTGGGATGCTTCTGTTTATGGCAGCTCTTACGACGTTAAAGCTGAAAGGGATCTACGAGACATTACTGGCTCCCTGCCACCCTCTTCCGAGGGTAGTTTAATCTCCCTAGTTTCTGAGGAGGCAGCTATGCTCCGAAAAGCTCCCAGGTCACACAGCTGGTAAACCAGATTCCACCCGGAATAGACCCCCGACCTGCCACACTCTTATCTTACCCTGCTCCCCAAAGTATTCTGTATTATTATTTTTGTTTAGTTTTTTTTCTTTTTGCCATAGGGCATGAGCACTTGCCAGAGAGAGGAAGTGAGAAATGGCCACACCACAATCCCTCCCTCCATCCTCCTCTCAGGGTTTTGGGCATGTGTGCACACTGGGTCTGGGACTTGAACTGCAGTTGGCCGTGTGGGAATCCAGCACATTAACCATCACAATACCTGCTGGCCTGAATCTGTATTATTTTTTTTATTCTACATTTGCAGATTTCGGTTTTTTTTTTTTTTGGAGAGGTTTTTGCTACCGGGCACATGCGCTCGCTAGAGAGACAGAAAGTGAGAAATCACCCCCGGGGAGATGGCCACGCTGCAATCCCTTCTCCTGCATTCTCCTCTCGGGATCTTGGGCACGCACGCACACATGCCTGGAGTGAGTATAAGCCACTGGGTCTAGGACTCGAACCGTGGTCAACTACATGGGAGTCCAGAGACATAGCCAATGGCTGGTCTTGAATCTGTATTATTTTTTAAAAGATAGTTCATTGCATGTATAACTGTAAGTTGTTTAATTTACATATCTTTGTAAGGGTTTTTCTTATAAATAAATGCAAAAATCATCAATGTCCCACTTACAGAATGTTGGTCCCATTTCTCATGCCCTCACTGTTCAGTCCTGCACCACAGTCAGCCTGTCAGCTAGGGGTGAGGTGAGAGTTACATTTAAATAGTTACATTTGGATTCATCCTGTGTTGGTAGCAGGTTTAAGGCTTGTTTCTGGTCTGTGGCTGATGACGGAAATCAGGTACATGTGGACTTGAAGACTCTTCACTTACAGTAAAAAGTTACTCTACAACTTTGCCCCAGCCAGCACCAGAAGTGGCTCTCTAGGGCTCACACTTGTTCTACCCCTAGCCAGTCTTCAGGGAGAAGGGTTCCAATGGGCAGAGTGGCGGTCCCAGGGCAGTGCGGACAGCCCAGTGCGTATTTTCATCTCAGAAACCTGGCTTCTAACCTGTCCCTTGAGATGCCATGTCATGTCCAAGGCAGGAAATTGCAATGCAGGAGTAGTCCCAGCAGCCAATAAGTCAGGAAGTAGCCTAGAATGTATCGTGTGACCAAAGAACAGGCTTTCCAGTTGTACAAAAGTTCCATGATAGGATTTCTGGGGACCTTGTGTCCTGGTGGGGAGTCCCCTACAGGAGGCTTCTGATGCACCAACTCGAGGGATTTCAACAGTGGCTCTTGATCCTGAAGTAAGTGAGCTGGAAACCAGTATACGATAGGCGTAGAGGAGCCCAAAAACCTGGTGAGAACCTAGGAATCAGAGGGGGAACCCACACATTTAGCTGAAATGCCACTGACTGGAGAAAGAGCAGCTTGGGCTTCTCTGCTGCTAGGTGAGTGGTGGCCCCGTGGCCGGGTGTACTGCACTGGACAGGACTCTGCAGAGCCAGGGTCTGCCTAACAACACACACGCAGCAGCAGCAGGCCACCTCCGAGTCACAACACACATGGCAGCAGCACACTGCCACAACAATGGGCCAATCAATGCTCAGGACTCAACAGGGTCTAGTTTATTTCATTTTGTTATTATTTTTAAAAATTTACTATGGGGCAGAAGCACTCACCAGAAAGAGACAGACAGAGAGTGAGAGATAAAGTGAGAAAGCAGGTCACCAGGTCCAGAAATCGAAGCATGGTCAGCCGCATGGGACTCGAACCATCATCAGTTATGTGGGAGTCCAGCACTTTAACCACCACACCATCCACTGACCCCCTCAGTGGGTTCTAATTTTAGCCCAGGGCCTGGACTCTGGACTGTGACTTGGGGATCAGAAACCTGGGGGTTCTCTTATCCCACAGGGGTGCCAAAGTAGAGGGCAAGGCCAGGGCATCCTCAGGTTCACACATTTTCCCTCCTGGGGAGATCAAAGCCAAGACTCCAAACGACCTCATCTGACCTGGAAACGCTCAACTTTTCTGGCACTCCCTCTGCTAGCTAACCTGACACAAACAAAATGCCGCTCTCTATTCCCACCTCCCAGCATTTTTTTTTTTTTTTGAGAGGTTTGCTATAGGGTGCATGTGCTTGCCAGAAAGACAGAGAGAGACAGAAAGGGGGGATGGCCACTCCACAATCCCTTCTCCATTCTCCTCTAGGAATCTTGGGCACACACACACACCCGGTGAGTGCAAGCCACCGGGTCCAGGACTCAAACTGTGGTCAACTACATGGGAGTCCAGTGACATAACCATCACGCCCACTGCTGGCCCCACCTCCCAGCCTCCTAACCACACAGCTTGGAAAGCTGTGCCTCCATGGGGGAGAAACCACTAAGGTCAGCAGAGGACAAAACACTTCCTCAGGTTATGTGGAAACTGGGGCCATGACCAAGAACAAAAACCTGTGGGAGATTGGGGCTAGCAGATGGCGTGGTGGTTAAGGTGCTAGACTCCCACTTGGCCAACCATGGTTCAAGTCCTGGACTTGGTGGCTTGCTTTCTCACTTTCCTTCTCTTTCTCTGGACAAATAACAACAACAACAACTAAAGTTGAACAGATAATCCTTAAAAATCAAACAGAAAAACAAATACCAGAAGGTGGTGTGGTGATTAAGGTGCTGGACACTCCCACATGGCTGACCAGTTTGACTCCCAGACCAGGAGGCTCGCTTTCTCACTTTCCCTCTGGCTTTCTCACTTTCCCTCTGGCTTTCTCACTTTCCCTCTGGCTTTCTCTCTCTCTGGTCATATTAAAAATAAACAAATCGGGGCCAACAGTTGGTGTAGTGGTCAAGGGTGCTGGACTCCCACATGGCTGACCATGGTTCGAGTCCTGGATCTGGCAGCTTGCTTTCTTACTTTCTCTTTCTCTCTACTTGCTCTGTTCTTTTCTGGTCGAATTAAAAAAAAAAAACACAAAAACAAACAAATAAATAAATAAAGTTAAATAAAAAAAGAATTCTGTAAAAAAATTAATATATGAATGAATAAATAAATAATTCTTAGGAAAAAAAAAACTGTGGGAGATCAAACCCTCTGGGCCAGCAGGTGGTATGGAGGTTAAGGCACTGGATCCCACATAGCCAACTACATAGGTTCATGCCCTGGACCTGGTGGCTTGAAAACCATGCTGGGTGCATGTATATCCATGCCCTAAATCCCGAGAGGAGAATGGAGAAGGGATTGCGGTGTGGTCACTCCCCAGAGGGGTGATCTCTCACTTTCTCTCTCTCTCTGGCAAGTGTGTGCACCCTATAGCAAAAACTAAAAAAAGATCACGTCAGTCTCATCCTTCTGTGTTGCCACTACCCCCAGAACATGGGATAAGTTCTCTCTTCTGGAAATTGGGCTCCAGCAGCCAACACTCAAGATGCCAACAGGGTATAACTATCCTCGAGGGGAAGGACCCGAGAGCTCCCCCGCGCTGGACCGTTTATAGCCCTTGGGCCTTTGCACACAGCCTTGTTTCCAAGGCTCCTCCTCTACCTCTGATATGGTAAGTGCCTTCTAACTCATCAGGATCCAACTTAAATACGATGTCTTCCTCAACGCCTCTTTTTGCTACTTCTATCTCTTCACTTCCACCATGTTTTTTTTTTTAATGTCAAAACATTAAAAATAGGGAGAGCAACCCCTCTTCCATCCCACCGTTACCATAATCTCGTATGTTAATGTCCAGACGTCTCCTTGTTTACACAATCAGAAACACCAGGGCAGCCATTTCACCTTATTCATGTTCTATCCTAGAGGTCTAATCCAGGATCTAGTGCAAAGGAATTCCCCAAGTAGTTGCTGAATGAACAAACCAGGTGTGGGACACTCAGATGGGAGGAGTCAGCCCCCTCCCCTGTCTGTGGCCATTCACACCCTTCTCCCAGCCAGGGAGGCACCTCACCTGAACATGCATACACAGGCCTCCGAACAGCAGTAACACGGCAGCGTGGACCAGGTATACAAACACCTGTAGACTAAAGAATCCAGGAGCGGGCTTCTTGAGGCTCTTCCTGCTCTGGCTTCTTCGCAACCCAAGTGTAAGGCAGAGCCAAGGGTGGGTTGTCACATACGTCCAAGTTGCCCAGACAACTAGTACTGCCATTGGTGCAGCCAGTAGAAAATTAGGTACCTGCCTGAGTTCATAGTATCTCAGAAAGCCCACATTCCAGTAGACATCCTGGATGTAGCTATATATCAGAGGAAGGCCCCAGGAGCACCATGGCGGCTCACTTCCCTCCACGGTCCGGTAGCCCTTGTCCGCAGCTAACTGCACCAATGGCTCGGGGATGGAGTGAGCTGAGCCTGGCACACAGAATCTGCTGTAGGCATAATACTGAAAGAGGGCAAAGGGAAGGCCAAGTGTGAGCACCGACAGGAACAGAGAGGCCATCAGCTTACAGAGCTGTCTCAGGGGGTTCAGTGCCGTAACAGAAGAGAGAAAGCCTCGGCACTGAGAATGCATGAGGAAGCCAACGCTGACCAGCCCATTGGAGCGTACGCCACTGGCGAGGGTAAAGAGCAGTCCACTAGTCCAGCCTCGGCCCCTCTCCAGCTGCCCCATGGCACTGAATGTCAGGAGTGCAAACAAAGCTTCTGAGTAACCAGCTGCCAGGAAGACATTGGCAGGGCTGAGGCAAAAGAGCAGCGCTGAGTAAAAGGCCTGGCGGGGACAGTGCAGAACCAGGCAGCCCAGGTCATGAAGTGCAACTGCGGCCAGCACGGAGAATAAGGAGTTGAGCCATACCGCTGAAATCAGCAGGCAGCTCCGACGGCTCAGGAACCCCTGCAGGGGTCTCAGCAGTTCTGTCCCAGCCAGCAGGGCCAGGGGGAAGCCGGGGAAGAAGGCAAAGTTGTGCTCATATAGGTAGCCATGCTCAGCAATGAACAGAAAGTGCTCAGCATCCCAGTGAGACAGGCCACCCAGAAGTCCTTCCACGAGCTGGTCCATAGAGCCCGAGGGGCCCAGGCGAGGAGGCCTAAAGGCTTCTGCATGGTGATCTGGGATGGCAGCATTGAAGAGGGCCTGTGGGGCGGAGACCAGGATTTTGGTTGAGTTAATTGGAAGAAAAGAATTACCACTTGAATAAAGAAAAGCAGACTTGGGGAGAATTGGGAGTTCAGTTCTGAACTAGCTAAGTTAGCAATTGAACACTCCAATGTAGAAATCACTAGGCACTGAGATATATGAGTCCCAGGTCAGGAGAGAGCGCAGGATTGGAGATGTAAATCTGGGAGGCTTAAGTGCATGGTTGGGATTTAAAGGTGTAAGACTGGGGTCAGCTGGTGGCGTGGATCCCACACGGGCAATGGTGCAATTTGAGTCCTGGATCCAGCAGCCTGAAAAACATGCTAGGCACATGTGCAAGTATGCCCAAAATCCGGAGAGGAGAAGTGGAGGGGTTGAGGAGGGGTTGTGGCGTGTACTTTCTCACCTTCCCTCTCTGTTTCTCTCTGGTAGTGCTCGTGCCTCTCTAGCAAACTAAAAAGAAAAAGGAAAGGCACAGATGTGGGTGCACCGACTGATGTGGTGGGTTTGAGGAAGTTCTCTTTGGCTGTCTTCTATTTTTGTGAGTGTCCACTCAGGAAAGCAAGTTATTGATGGAGAATGAGTACTGGGGAGAGACGACAGAGGTTTGCGGGAAAACATGTAAAATAAGTCACATAGAACCCCAGTTCTCAACATAGGCTATGCAATGGAATTATACAGGGAGTTCCACAAAATGCTGACGCCTGGGTCTCAGAGTAACGGCCTCAGCGTCTGGGGTACCAGTGGGCACGGGAACTGTGTGTACGTATCTTTTTGACAGGGTCTCAGTATGTCATGACCCTCCTGCCTCGGCTTGGTGAGTAGCTGGGACCACAGTCACAAGCTCCCACAGCTGGCTTTTCCAGACAGGGTCTCACTGTGTGAGCTCCTGGCCCTTCCACCTCAGCCTCCTGAGTGGTGGGGGTTCCAGGTGTGTGCTGCTGCACCTGACTTCTTAGAACGGGCCAGAAACAGAACCCAGGCCACCCACGTGTTCTCAGCCTGTCACACAGCAGTGTCCAGTGCATGCTACCATGGCTGGGCCTGAATTTTTTTTTTTTTTTAATCTCCCCAGGTGATTTCGATGTGCCAGTTTTGAGACAATAAGAGGGTGAATGGACCAGGGAAATACACTACAATTCTTGGGTAGCACTAAGGACTTGTGTGGGTTAGTAATCTTGAATAAAAAGACTAATTAGTACAACTGTGGGTTTTTCTCAGGGAAGATGCAGGCATGGAGTAGGCAGAAAACGATGTAGCCGCTCTGGGCTTTCGTTTTGTAAGACACAGGGAGGGGGCAGTGAGAGAGGCGCATGGGTGTGCATGGAAACAATGCTCAAGATGAACAAGGGACTCTTGGCTGGGTAAAGCACAGGTGGGTGGTGGGCAGGGAGACAGGAAGCAGTGCTAGACTTGACTGAATTTTTTTTTTTTTTTAATCTCCCCAGGTGATTTCGATGTGCCAGTTTTGAGACAATAAGAGGGTGAATGGACCAGGGAAATACACTACAATTCTTGGGTAGCACTAAGGACTTGTGTGGGTTAGTAATCTTGAATAAAAAGACTAATTAGTACAACTGTGGGTTTTTCTCAGGGAAGATGCAGGCATGGAGTAGGCAGAAAACGATGTAGCCGCTCTGGGCTTTCGTTTTGTAAGACACAGGGAGGGGGCAGTGAGAGAGGCGCATGGGTGTGCATGGAAACAATGCTCAAGATGAACAAGGGACTCTTGGCTGGGTAAAGCACAGGTGGGTGGTGGGCAGGGAGACAGGAAGCAGTGCTAGACTTGATGGATTATAAATTCTGAGGGGTGGAAGACTCGGTAGAGCTGGGCAGTGAGCTGGAAAGACAGGAGACAGGTCAGACAACGGGACGATTAAAATTGAGATTACTTGGCAGGGGCTCGGGGAGAGTATACCATGAGGTGGTGAGGACAAACCACTAGAAGGGAGCAGGAAAACATGGCACCAGGTGGATCATCTCCCTTCACACTGAAACCACCAAGAAACCAACAGAAAGCAGTACTGGAAAGAGTGACAGCAAACCAGGAGCAAAAAGCTTCGACGCTGCAAAGAGTAGCAAGGGCTACAAGCCGACGGCGTGGGGCCAGCAGGTGGTGTGCTTAAAGCGCTGGACTCCCACTTGGCCTACTGCGTTTTGAGTCCCTGACCGGGCAGCTTGCTTTCTTACTTTCCCTTTCTCTCTCTTGCTGTCTCTCTCTGGTGAGTACATGTGCCCTATAGCAAGTTAAAATAATAAATAAAAGTAAGTTTGAATATTTTTAAAAGATTTTATTTGATTATTTAAATTTGACCTGAGAGAGACAGAAAGAGACTGAGGAAGCAAGCTGCCAGGTCCAGGACTCAAACCACAGTCAGCCATGTGGGAGACAAGTGCCCCAAACACCATGCCACCTGCTGGTTCCTAAAATTAAAAATAGGTTCTCTGGAGCTGGCAGGTGGCATGGTGGTTAAGGGCTCTACACTCCCATATGGCTAACCACGGTTCGAGTCCCAGACCTGGTGGCTTGCTTTCTCACTTTCTCTCTCTCTCTGTCCCTCTCTGGTCAAATTAAAAATAAATGAAGCAGGGCCAGCAGTTAGCGTAATGGCTATGTCACTGGACTCCCACGTAGTCAACTGCGGTTTGAGTCCCAGACCCAGTGGCTTAAACTCACGCTGGGCGCGTGTGCGTGCGTGCGTGCCCAAGATCCCAAGAGGAGAATGGAGGAGAAGGGATTGCGGTGTGGCCATCCCCGCTAGGGGGTGGTTTCTCGCTTCCCGTCTCTGTCTCTGGGCCACAATGTGACATGGTGGTTAAGGGTGCTGGACTCCCACATGGCCGACTGTGGTTTGAGTCCCGGACCTGGAAACTTGCTTTCTCACTTTCCCTCCTTCTCTCTTTCTGTCTCTCTCTGGAAATATTAAAATAATAATAATAACTTAAATAATATTTTTTTAAAAATTGGTCTCCAATTTTTTTTCTTTCTTTTTTTTAGACTAGTCAAGTGCAGTAGTGAGAAGGGGGGAGATAGTTGAACAAGGAGTTCGACCTGTAACTGACTTTGAACACTCATTCGAGATCACTCACTACCTTCGGACCAGCCTCTAATTTTTTTTTATTTAAAAAAAAGAATCCAATGATATGAGCTCTGAAGTGGAAGAAAAGGGGAGGGGAAGGAGTGAAATAGCATTTATTATAAAATGTCTTTCTGCCCCCATTAGATTGTCAGCTGCTTCAGAGGAAAAGTGACCAGGACGTTTCACACTCACCACTTCACACAGTCCAGGGAACACAATAGGTACTTGACACAATGCTGGTCACAGAATGACCTGCCTAGAAGAAACACGCTTCCGCCGTCCCTGCCTGGATTAGAACCGACAGCCTCGGTCTGGCCTGTGGTCTGCAGGGCTGCTCCTCTGATTCTGCAGCGAGTCCCTGCTGCAAGTTCAGGGCCATCACGGAACCCTCCCTCACCCCTGGCCTGGCAGCGGAGCGTAACCCCATTTAAAATAATTATTTATTTAACTCTACTTGTTATTATTATTACTATTATTATTATTATTTTAATTTGACCAGAGAGAGAGAGAGAAAGAGAAAGCAAGAAAGCAAGCTGCTCTGAACTTGAACTGCGGTCGGCCATGTGGGAATCCAGTGCCTTTAACCACCATGCCACCTGCCAGCCCTGTTATCCCCATTTTTAAGGTTCTTTTCATTTTTGGTCAGTTACCTTATCAGGCCACTTTACGCAGTGAAACCAAATGGGACAGGAGTGACAGTCAGAGATAATAGCCCCAGTCCTCAGGGCGATGACTTTTAACTAGGCCTCGAGCGAGCGTAGCAGCACGTGCTATGCCTCAGGTTGCGAGAAAAGGAGAAGTTTCCATGAAGGAGCAGGCATGAGCCTCAGAGACTGGTGCTTGTGAGAAAAGGTGAACATAATCATGTCACTGTAACATCCCTGGGGTGTTAGCACACACACAAAACTGCACCCACTTATGAACACGCAAGTGTGCCTAAGCACCAGGGACTGTGCTAGGACCAGCACAGGGAGACACCTGGGGGGTGGGGGTGAGGCGCTGCTAATTAATGAACACCTACGGGTGGTCTCAGGACTCTCGCAACACCATGGTATCAGCCTCTCCCCTTCTATTGGCTGACACAGTGTGCCACTGAGTGGTGAGGGGAGCCAGGACAATGCTTTCAGCTGTCACATCTCAAAAGACTCTAGTTATGAAGCACCACAGTCTGAGAAGACCACTCCTAGCTCAGGAGTTAGGCAATCTGGTATCTAACTCGGGCCCCTCTAATTTGCCATATGTGGCTTCAGGGAAGGCATTTAGCCTTTCTGGGCCTCTACTGGTTCACGTGTAAAATAACGAACTCACATCCCTTCACTTCCCTTTTTTTTTTTTTTTTAAAGAATTATCTATTTAATTCCACTTGTTATTATTATTATTATTTTTTAATTTGATCAGAGAGGGGAGAGAGAGAAAGAGAAAGGGAGAAAGCAAACCACCAGGTCTGGGACTCAAACCGCAGTCAGCCATGTGGGAATCCAGCACCTTTAACTACCACACCACCTGCCGGCCCCCATATACCTTCACTTTCTAAGATTCTGTTATCGGATGGGGGAGCTGAGCTGTATTCCATGAAATACTTGGTTATTTGGGTCCAGCTCTAAGGTTAGAGATCCTCCTTGAAGCACAGAATGAACCTGTAACAATTTCTACCTACTATGGTTCCCATGACGTGGAAGGGCCCAGAGGGGCAGAGCAAGGAGACAGGGACTATTCCTGCTGCCCAGCCCAGCAGCAACGGCACATTCAGGACAAAGGATCACAGACTGACCTGCAGTATCAGAGTCAGGACCCGGCAGCTGACTGCAAACCTCAGCACCTCTTTCCTGGAGGGGTGGTGTGGCCACATCCTCTCACGCTGGCAATGCAGGGGCGTTTCTACCACGACTGAGCTCCCTCAGGCTTCTAAACCTCAAAATCCAAGGAGGAAAATGTCACATGTCATTCGATAGCAAATTGTTGAAAACATTCTTCACAGGAACCTCCCCCTTCAGCATCACTACGGCAAAACACCACCTAAAGTCCCAGCTGAGAGACAAGCACCTTTGCGGCAGAGAGAACCACTTGGTACCATGCTGACACACAGAGATCCTCATGGGAAAGTCCTACACACAGGGGCATGGCGCTGGGAAGCGAAGCTCACAGAACGGCTTTCAAAGTCTGCTGAGTACTAGGTATGACCTGAAGATCTGGGTCCAAGTACTGACTCACAAGTTCTCACTTAGTCCCTCTGAGCCTCAATTCTTTTTAAAAAACAAGTAATTGTTGTTGTTGCTGCTGCTGCTGCTGCTGCTGTAAGGCATGTGCACTAGCCAGAGAGAAGGGGGGAAGCAGTGAGAAAGCACCCATCAGGAGGATGGCCACACCGCAATCCCTTCTCCATTCATGTCTTAGGATTTGGAGAACATACACATGTGCTTGGCGTGGTTTTTATTTCCCTCTTTTTTTTTTTATCAAATTTTATTTATTTATTTAATTTAAACTTGACCAGAGAGGGATAGAGTGAGAGGGTGAGACAGGAAAAGGTGAACATAATCATGTCACTGTAACATCCCTGGGGTGTTAGCACACACACAAAACTGCACCCACTTATGAACACGCAAGTGTGCCTAAGCACCAGGGACTGTGCTAGGACCAGCACAGGGAGACACCTGGGGGGTGGGGGTGAGGCGCTGCTAATTAATGAACACCTACGGGTGGTCTCAGGACTCTCGCAACACCATGGTATCAGCCTCTCCCCTTCTATTGGCTGACACAGTGTGCCACTGAGTGGTGAGGGGAGCCAGGACAATGCTTTCAGCTGTCACATCTCAAAAGACTCTAGTTATGAAGCACCACAGTCTGAGAAGACCACTCCTAGCTCAGGAGTTAGGCAATCTGGTATCTAACTCGGGCCCCTCTAATTTGCCATATGTGGCTTCAGGGAAGGCATTTAGCCTTTCTGGGCCTCTACTGGTTCACGTGTAAAATAACGAACTCACATCCCTTCACTTCCCTTTTTTTTTTTTTTTAAAGAATTATCTATTTAATTCCACTTGTTATTATTATTATTATTTTTTAATTTGATCAGAGAGGGGAGAGAGAGAAAGAGAAAGGGAGAAAGCAAACCACCAGGTCTGGGACTCAAACCGCAGTCAGCCATGTGGGAATCCAGCACCTTTAACTACCACACCACCTGCCGGCCCCCATATACCTTCACTTTCTAAGATTCTGTTATCGGATGGGGGAGCTGAGCTGTATTCCATGAAATACTTGGTTATTTGGGTCCAGCTCTAAGGTTAGAGATCCTCCTTGAAGCACAGAATGAACCTGTAACAATTTCTACCTACTATGGTTCCCATGACGTGGAAGGGCCCAGAGGGGCAGAGCAAGGAGACAGGGACTATCCCTGCTGCCCAGCCCAGCAGCAACGGCACATTCAGGACAAAGGATCACAGACTGACCTGCAGTATCAGAGTCAGGACCCGGCAGCTGACTGCAAACCTCAGCACCTCTTTCCTGGAGGGGTGGTGTGGCCACATCCTCTCACGCTGGCAATGCAGGGGCGTTTCTACCACGACTGAGCTCCCTCAGGCTTCTAAACCTCAAAATCCAAGGAGGAAAATGTCACATGTCATTCGATAGCAAATTGTTGAAAACATTCTTCACAGGAACCTCCCCCTTCAGCATCACTACGGCAAAACACCACCTAAAGTCCCAGCTGAGAGACAAGCACCTTTGCGGCAGAGAGAACCACTTGGTACCATGCTGACACACAGAGATCCTCATGGGAAAGTCCTACACACAGGGGCATGGCGCTGGGAAGCGAAGCTCACAGAACGGCTTTCAAAGTCTGCTGAGTACTAGGTATGACCTGAAGATCTGGGTCCAAGTACTGACTCACAAGTTCTCACTTAGTCCCTCTGAGCCTCAATTCTTTTTAAAAAACAAGTAATTGTTGTTGTTGCTGCTGCTGCTGCTGCTGCTGTAAGGCATGTGCACTAGCCAGAGAGAAGGGGGGAAGCAGTGAGAAAGCACCCATCAGGAGGATGGCCACACCGCAATCCCTTCTCCATTCATGTCTTAGGATTTGGAGAACATACACATGTGCTTGGCGTGGTTTTTATTTCCCTCTTTTTTTTTTTATCAAATTTTATTTATTTATTTAATTTAAACTTGACCAGAGAGGGATAGAGTGAGAGGGTGAGACAGACGGAAAGTGAGAAAGCAGCCCGCCGGGTCCAGGACTTGAACTATGGTCGGCCATGTGGGAGTCTAGCACCCTTAACCACATCGCCTGGCAGCCTCTTTTTTTCCTTTTTTAAAAAGATTTATTTATTTAATTTTGTTATTATGATTACTTTTTAAAATTGACCAGAGACAGAACGAGAGGGAAAGTGAGAAAGCAAGCCATCAAGTCCAGGACTTGAACAATGGTTGACCATATGGGGACCCAGCACTTTAACCATCAAGCCGCCTGCCAGCCCTGCCTGGTATGTTTTCCAAGCTACTGGGTCTGGGACTCTATTGGAGCAGTTGGCTACGTGGGGTCCAGCTACCCGAACCACCACCCCACTGGGTGGCCCTCAATTCTTACTGTATAAAATGGGATCAGGGAACCAGCCAATGGTGTGTTGGTTACGGAGCTGATCTCCCACATGGCCAGCCACAGTTCAAGTCCTGGACCGGGAGGCTTGCTTTCTCATTTTCTCTCTCTCTCTGGTGAATGCCTGTATCAAATTTTCAATAATAAAAATAAATAAATAAATAAAATTATTTTTTTTAAAACCTGCCTTTTTTTTTTTTTTTAGAGATTTTCACTGTAGGGCGCGTGCGCTCGCCAGACAGACAGAGAGA